ATATTTATATATATATAAAACTGCCACTGTTTGTGGCAGTTTTACTGGACTTCTTCAGGAGTCCGGAGTTTTAAGGGACACCTAAAGGCAATTTGATTGTTAGCTTGATGCTTGGGTTCCATTTGCCAGAGACGCCCAGGATGTCTTTAAACACTAATACAGTTTTAAAAAATCTGGTTGAATTCACCTTTACAAACTAGTTAACCATTGCAGTTGACGAGACAGTGCAACAACATTCCACTAGCTTTAAGTTGCGTTGAAAAAGTTCACTCTTAGACACCAAAGTTAGCTTATGTAATACATATCAACAGAGATTATTGATAAATATACAGATGATACTTCTGTTGATTGTTGTCTGCGTAGAATCATTTCAACGGTCGAGCCTCCTGATCTCTGGTCGGAGGAGACTGTAAACATTGGATCAGATGGTAATAGCAGACCTTATCAGGTTCCACACTTTAATGCAAAGCCAAATCAATAGTTTCTCTCACGTCACTCTATGCCATCGTTGTCACAAAGCCACAAAATAATGCAACGAATTTACAGCGACAAAACTTCGACTTCAGTCTTCTTCATGAACACTGTTCAGTTCTATTTTTATTTAATGGACGCAGTGTTTTTCCCCTAAACATTGAGCACTCACAAGCCTTATATGTAATGTTCGAAGAGTTTCAGAACTGCTAATATGAAAACAGCCACCATAAGCTACAGGTCAACACAAGTCAAACGTTGACTCCTACCAAAGCATGTCGTCACTTATTCTTTGTGTCTCTTCGAGTCAGTGAACGACCTGAAGAGTGAAATGAAAGTGTTAAAATTTCAAATTTAACTTGAATCATTTATTTTTGGATGTGACTGGAACTATATGGCAATACCAAATCTAATGGTTAAACTATGCAGGGGCTCCTAAACGTTTCTCTGCACAGCCAAACACACTCAGTAAATGACCCTGTTTGTGTCCACTATTAATGGACAGGTCAAAGACCTGCAGTTTTGAAAGATCTACTTCCTTCTGTCCAGAATCCAGGATTCTTCTGAGGTCATCTTCCAAAATGAAATATAGTCAGTGCTGAACAAAGTCGCATAAAGTTAATTTTTGTCGGAATGTTGTTACTACAGTGTGACGTAATTCTATTTTCGTAAGTCAGAACTCACATATATAATCTAGGACATAAAAACATGAGAAGAATCGGACTTACACTTGGGAGCCATAAATGAAAGAATGTTTTAATAAACTATGGGAGATGGCGACGTAACCATGAAACCTAGGGTTAATATACTGTACATATCAATGGTGAAGTTAAAGCTCATCATTTTCACCCATTATAAATGGAAAAAAGAAAGAAATTCTCCAGACGATAAAACCCTGTGTGCCTTTCATAATTATTTACCCTAGGTGTGGATGTGGCCCTGACGCATAAAAAACTTGGGTTTCGCCTTAGGTTTAAACAGGTTTTTCCACTCATTCCTATGAAATGCGTAACAGTCTAAGTCCTTGTTTGAATGTCCCGTCCGACCCCTGGTTTACACACCTTGTTAATCCCCACTTGCCAAGTCTGTTTTCCCAGTATCAATCTTCTTATCACACACTGCATCACGCAGACATTTTCTCATCCATGACCTGAGGTGTTACAATGTTTTTTTGTTTTGTTTTTTTGCTTTTTTGCAGTACATCCTGATTTTGCCATTGAAATATCAGACTCTCTTTGCTGTTATCTTTAAAACTAATCATTGGACTCACAGCCACAGTTTGGGAGCCAACACTAAAGGGATTTCATAGAAACAACTACAAGCTCTCAGAACAGAGAGATTGTTTTGCCTTCTTCGTGTACTGTAAATGAACGGTGGCGCTTTTTGTTTTGTTTCATGCATAACATTAATCTGCATAAATTTGATGGTACGTAGCTTAGCGTCGTAGTTAAAACAAACATGGTAATAAAGGCTGTGGCAGGGACAGAGACGACTTCCTGTCCACGTGTTAGTCATTCAGTATTGAAACATCCAGAGGAAAGAATGTGAATTTTTTTGTAATTTCCCTCCTGAAAATATTGGATCACCAAAAAGCTGTGTTGAAAAGAACAGCTTGGTCCACAGCAGCTGATGAAGCTGATGATGGAGGAAGTGTACTAGAGTGAGTCTTGCAGGCATTCCCTTCAGTACAAATGTAGGAGAGAAAACTCTGAATGGGTTTAATGTGCATAAACCCAGGAATGTATGTAAATAACTGTATATGCATCTGAAGAGAGAGCAGAGATATTCTTCTAGTAATTTTAGCAAAAATCTTTTTTTAAGAAATATGTATAGAAAGTGTACATATCATGATAATTCAAACAGAGTAAAGGGAAAATCTGCAGCCTTTTGATTCTAAGCAGTTTTATGCAATCCATCATTTCAGATTCATTCGTCTTTGTCAGCATTTGTTAATTTCTTTTTAACAAATTTGAACAACTTTGAAGCATGTGATGGCGTGCGACGTGATTTTCTGTAAACATGATGTAAAGAGAGTTGCTAAAAAAGTTATATTTTTGCTTTTGTTCTATATGTAAAACTCATTTACAATAAAAATGATGGAACATTATTGTACGTGTTTTGTGTTTTATGTTAAAACTAATGACATTTTGCTCCTTCTTTGCCTGATTCTGTCAAACTCCCGGTGCAGGGGCCACTTCCGGTCTTTGAGCCCACCTCATGAGGCCACGACTGTTTACAAATAATATATAATTTTGCCCTCAACATAATCTTCTAGTTGTATTGTTGTTATTCAACGGCTAACATGCACCTCTTCTTACTCTATCACCTATGGCTGTACTTTTACTATATACTAATTATTTGTTATTATTTATGTTATTTTGTATTTTGTTTGTTTACTGTAGCTTGATTGTTGATTGACTGACTCAAATTCCTGTCGCTTTGGATAAATGCGTCTGTTAAATGTAATGTAATGTGTTGTTATTCATTAAAAGTATTAAGTTGTTCATATAAGCATGAGAAAAAGACCTGTCCCCACAGTTACTGTAGTAATACAGGGGATCCTCGACTTGCGTCGGAATTCCATTGCTCTTCATAACAGCTGTCTTGCAATGTATAGAGATGTGTTACGGTGTATTTGCCCAACATACTCGCCAGCTAGTTCCTGTGTGAAATTTGTTTTAACACCGTATGTGGAAGTGATGGTTTTATGGTAGATGGTGACATAACCATAAAACGCTGCAGGTTGACGACGTCACAAATCTAGGACCCCTCTATATCTGTGTATTAAACAAAACCTTTTTCTAAATATCTGGGTTAGTTAGAAATGGCTTCAAACGTAGGGCAAACATTTCGAAGTCAGACTCAGCTGTGAATAAGTAAATGTGGTGAAGTTCTATATTTTCTAAAGGTAAAAAGTGACATGAAATCAAACTGATCCTCAGATTCCTGTCATTGGATCAACTAGACCAGTGGTTCTCAAATTTTATATGCTCTGTACCACCGCGTAATTTGTTTACTTCCTGTGAAAGACACGCAGACGTGGGCCAATAATTCAGAGCATAAATTCCAAAATGTCTCAAGAATATTCATTTCATTTCATTATTAATAAAAGACAAACAAGAAAGAAATATATAAATTGATGATCATAAATGATGATGATTAATGCTAATAGTTTAATAGTTAGACAAAAGTAATTTAGGGTGAGTAAGCAAAAAGAATGTATTACAAGAAAAATAATTAAAACCGCAAAAAGGTGGAAATAATTCTAAACTGCTCAGTTTGCCCAAAAAGAAATATACAAATTTGTAAACAGGAAGTCAATTAAAATGCCCTTGAAGGGACAAAAAAGACCCTGACCAGCTGGCTGGCCATTAAAATAATTTAAGACCACAGTCATGAGCCACATAAAACCTGTCAATGTGCCCTTGTTTGTCCCTGGGTCAGACTTTGGACATACGGGACGTGTGATGTAAGAAAAAAGAAAAAAGCTCAGCTGTGACCAAGCAGACAATGTCAGCGGTGTCACATTTCTGTTTGTGTGTTGCCCCCCCCTTGCGGTGTCACATTTCTGTTTGTGTGTTGTCTCCCTTCCTGTGTTTGTATTTATTGAATGTGTTTGGTCCAGTCATCTAACGAAGTGTATTGGATGTACCATGCAGTGGCGTGCGGTCAGGGGAGGCAGTGCCTCACCTGTCATCGTGATAAAAAAGAAAAGAAGTACATAAAATAAATATTAATATTTTCCACTGATCTGTGTTAAAGATGCAATTGCAGTATTTTGCGATCAAATACATGGCAGAAATCCCGGGTGAAGCAGTGGAGAGCTGTGCCTCACATCTGACTGAGTGAGCCAAACTGGGTCACATGACACGTGTCCGTTTCTGTTCCTCAGCATTTCGCCAATATGAACTTTAGAGAAATATTTGTTATACAGACATACTGTTGATTGTCAGCAGGGGAGGTAGGCGGTACTCTGCCTCACCTCAAGGCAGAGGTGGGGACTCGAGTCACATGACTTGGACTCGAGTCAGACTCGAGTCGTCAATTTGATGACTTTAGACGCGACTTGACAAAATGTAAAGAGACTTGCAACTCGACTTGGACTTTAACATCAATGACTCGGGACTTCACCTGGACTTGAGCCCCTTGACTCGACCAGACATGATACTTTCTCCAAAACCCAACGTGATCTGTGTAAAAATATTATTATTTTATTTAAAAGGACTCAAAACAGAAACGTAAGGACTTGACACTTTTTAGTCTTGACTTGAGACTTGACTCAGACTTTGCCTGTCTTGACTTGAGACTTGACTCGGACTTGAGTGCAAAGACTTGAGACTTACTTATGACTTGCAAAGCAATGACTTGGTCCCACCTCTGCCTCAAGGGGTCGCACGTGAACTGGCAGGTGCTCCCCAGCTGACGTCAACAGGAAATTGAAAGTCGGTGCCAAGCTAGAGCCGGTAGTAAGTCAAGAACAGAGTTTTTATGCTCTGCCTGCTCC